TATATATATATATAGCCAATGGCTTGCATAATGTATAGTCGCTAACAACGTTTTTATTCCAGGGTTGCGATTATTCCGGGACTTAGCGTCCCCGCGGCGAGGTCCTCAACCATGCCTCCTGGATTGGTCAACCAGGCTGTCGAACGCGGCTGCTCGCAGCCTGACGTATGAATCACAGCCTGGTTGATCAGGTATCCTTTGGAGGTGTTTATCAAGTTCTCTCTTGAACACTGCAAGAGGTCGGCCAGTTATGCCCCTTATGTGTAGTGAAAGCGTGTTGAACAGTCTCGAGGCTCTGATATTGATAGTTCTCTCTTGAACACTGCGAGGGGTCGGCCAGTTATGCCCCTTATGTGTAGTGGAAGCGTGTTGAATAGTCTCGGGCCTCTGATGTTGATAGAGTTCTCTCTCAGAGTACCTATTGCACCTCTGCTTTTCTACGGGGGTAGTCTGCACATCCTGTCATGTCTTATGGTCTCATTTGGTGTTATTTCCTTTGCGACTAGCCCCTCTTAGTATTTTCTACGTGCAAATTATTAAGTCTCTCTTCCGCCTGAGCTGAAGAGAATACAGATTTAGGCATTTTAGTCGTTCCCGATAGTTTAGATGTTTTACTGAGTGGATTCTAGCCGTAAAGGATCTCTGCACGCTCTCCAGGTCAGCAATTTCACCAGTTTGAAAGGGGCTGTCATTGTGCAACAGTATTCCACTCTAGAGAGCACCAGCGACTTGAAGAGTATCAACATTGGTACAGTATTTCTAGTTTGAAAAGTTCTTGTTATCCAACCTGTCATGTTTCTTGCAGTTGTGACGGCTAATTTATTGTGTTCTTTAAAGGTAAGGTCCTCCGATATGAGTACACCCGAATCCTTTACATTTCTTTTTCGTTCTATGTTATGATTTGACTGCGTTTTGTACATGGTTTCTGTTTTTATATTTTAACTTTTTCCGTAGCAAAGGAGCTGGAACTTATCTTTATTAAATACCATATTATTTTCTGTAGCCCATTGAAAGACCTGATTTACATCTGGTTGGAGGTTTGCTGTGTCCTCTATGTTGTCTACTCTCACGAAAATCCTAGTGTCACTTTACTAGTCAGGTGTCAGGTTAAGTATTCATTGACAGAAATATGCTCAAATGTAAAGTGTTATTTATTGACAAGCTTTTCCCAAAATTCTGAAACTGTCCAATAAGTCTGAAACCATTGTACGAAATTATGTTGTTTTTATATTATTTTATTATCAGAATTTCTTCAGTGTATCCACGATTATGACTGAAAAAACAATGAAAACATGATATCCAGTTTGCACACATACACGGGGAATGGCGTCAGAAGCAATGGGTTCCAACTGGTACATGGGTTCCAGACCTATGGGACATCCCTGTATATGGTCTATTATTTTGCTTTTAAAGCTATATTTTGTATGGTAAACAATCATAGAATTCTGCTAGTCTACGAAATTGCCCTATTCACTTATATGTGTGAAAAAGGTGGAGCTTTCTTGTCCATATCTAATACACATTTGATATTCGACTATTCTAGCTTTCAAATCTCTACTGTTTGCCTTATACATACAATTTACCAAGCATTATATAAACGCTCCAACCCTCTACTGCGCATTTTATTTGGAAGACATAAACTGACTCATTAGCATCAAAATTAATTATTACTGTGGTCAGTTTCGGACTGACCTGTTCATAGTGAATGATATTTTTTATATAAATCTTCCACTGGAATATTTAGAGACTTGTCAAGGACCTGTCTAAAAATTATTTTTTAATATTTCATGAAATGACTGACGTTTCTAACACTGGAAATACTGGATTCTGCGTATATGTAATACCTTCAGAAGAGCCCCGCAGCAATGATCCTCTTCACCTTGTCAAGGCATAAACTATAAGAGGCCACCATCTGTATAATAATCCTTCCTATATACAGTGAAATTATTGCTATTTTTACATATAATTACCAACACGTCTGTAATCGGTAATTATGAGTAACAATACCCTCACCTTCAGAGTTTGTAGAAATTGTATTAGATGTTTCAGTTGTGGACTGGGTTCCCAACAAAGGCAAGTTTGCCCACTCAGTGTCCAAAGATCATCAGTATTTACAAGTAAACCCATTAATTGGTCTATATTCATTGCCCAGACCGAATGCGACAGGACCGTACATCTCCCACACTTGATTAGGTATTTGTGAGCCATTTGGATGTTTGGACAAACCGGCGAGGTTTATATTATGAATATAATATTATATTCCTATTTTCATATTATATTCATATATATATATAATAATAATATTATATTATAAATATAATATAGGTTATATTAGGCTAAATTATGAATACAAAATTAAACCGAATTTGAAACATCAGTCTCATCAACGGGAATCGAACTTTAGACCCATGAAATGCTAGGCCAGTACGAAGGCCAATGCAAAACAAAAAATTATTATGTGGTTACATTGTTAAATAGTGAAGAAGTGCATGTATGTTCAGTTCCTGAATCCATTATCTGGCTCTATGACCCTTTCCACCACCGCCCACAGGATGGGCATGGGGTACATAATAAATGGCTAAGCTAACTAACGTTTGGTCATATGTAAAATGAACAAACAGACCAGACCATTTTGAATAAGAGATGTGAGACATTGGAACGCCCTCAATGCCATGCCATTGCCATTGGCATCTCCCCTCTGAGGGAATCCTGTTGTCTTTGTCTGGTATTTCCCCAGAGTCTCACTAAGTTAACAAAGAGAAAGAAAAGACGTAAGTCACGAGTAACTCCTGCTCACCTTCAACCAGTGATAATGTTTCTTATGGATTAGGCATACTGAGCATTAGTGTTCTTCACAACCCATGTTAACACTCACCTCTCTTGCACTGAAACTCCCTCGTTTTGTTATGTTTGCTTGGCTAATTACTTCAACAAGTGACACCCTTTACCTTGCTTGTATCCATTTGCACATGTATAAAAGCGCGCCTGTGCAGTACACTCTTTCACATGGTATCTACATTTCTGTATCATTTAATTTGGGACGAGTATGTCTTCAACGTAACCAGCGCGATTCATTAGTATGCAGGCTGAGTCATCCAATATCCTGAGAGTACTTGTTTTAAACAGAGCATTTCTTCATTCATTTTACTAAGCGGCGCTGCCGTCGCTACTATCCATACACACACCACCCTTTTTCTCCCTCCTCCCATTCATAAAACAACCTCCCGCTCACCTATTTCTCACACACCCCGGAGATGATTGAGGACAAAACCCTGTGAACTATAATTAACTTGTACGAAGTGGAGCCAGAAAAGCATACTATAGAGTCGCATCAGGCGGTGAGAAGCGTGTGGCGGGGTCGTAACAATACCCGCCTTACCCCAACCCACTTGTGATCCTTTCTGTTTATTTGGGTCTTGACCATGATTGATTGATTGTCTAAATATATCACCCCCTCTATCATTTGTTTATTTATATTTCGGCCACAACGAGTAGAGCCGTACAATACAATGTTTCTTACATAAGATTTATAGAACTATTATATGGTTTAATCAATAAGATATACGAAACTGGAATATTATTATCCTGTAAGACACTGCACATCCAGGGCAAATATGAACGTTCTCCTTCGGTTGCATGCTCATTCAAACTAAGAATGTCGTGAACTTCCGCTCTATGTGTAAACAAACGTGTCACCGTATTTTTTGTGTTTACAAGTTGCGGAGTGAGTTAGGAGGGCAGCGAGCAGCGGCAGTCACCACCACCTGGCACAAAGAGGCTCTCTCACCCCCGTCAGCCCCACATGAACAGTTTATACCGCAACTCATACAAATCCATGAGTTTGGATGATCTACACGAGACCTGTCGACACAGTTTATTGGTTTTGACTTTTCATTTGTTCGTGTGATGGCTGTGTGTTTTGCTAGCGGCCGCACATGATGAGAAATGTTTACACAGCATCAGCTCACTGACGTACATATACAAAAATGTTTTCTGCTGAGTTGCGCTCACTTTCGCTGAACTTCGCTCAGCAGGAAGATTTGTTAAGGGTCAAGTTTCCAGTTGATATTACGTATCTATATCTAGCTCTTATATTTGTAAATTAAAATTTCCATTCTTTAAGATACTCTCATATTTATTACTATAAAACATAAACAACTGTTGAGGCGACTGATATCTTGCTCATCGTGTGGCGAACGAAACACAAAGTATCTCTCCACATCTTTCTTCTTTCCCCTGATTGCCACCCGGGCAGCGGAAACTCTCCACCAATCACCACACGAGTTCCTCGCACTCATGAGAAACCGAGCCAATCAGGAGGAAGATAAGCACAGGAGTTGCTACTATTGGACGCCCTGGTTCTGCCTCCCTTAGAAAAAGAAGGGTATATGTAAGCTATACATTTGCTCTATTATACCGTTACAAAGAGCTTAAAATGTTTTATCAAGAAGCCTTTTGAAGAGCCTCTCACCCACAAGAACTATCTGAAGAAGCCATTATTGTGACAAGGCGAGGACTGAAGTAACTTGTGGGTGGGCGGGATGATTTATTAGGCGATGAAAGCTTCCGACTGCCACACTAACCACAAATTGGTCCACGCGACACCCTTTCATTTGTCACGCGGTCCCTCGCCACGCTCAAGGCTCGATCACAGGTGCTCCAACTTGGACTTAAGTGATTGTACTAGCGATGACGTCTCAGTGAAAAATCTTAAGGAGGTGTCTCCTATGATAAGTGTTTGAACAACAGTGCTAAGAGGCTGGTATTATCCCAAGTCAAGGACAAAGAAAGCATCGGGTTCAAGAGAAAGCTTCTTGTGACTCTTCAGAAAGTGAACGCAGTAGCGAGTCGCCAGTGGAGAAGTGATCATCATTGTGCGAGCGTCAGTGTTGACCATCCCTTGGGACAACGTTGTTCCGGCACCTCAGCTTCGGCCCGACCTCACAGTCTAGCCTGTGCACCCTACCTACCCTTCCTTAGCCTTCCCAGCCCCGCCTGTGCGCTCCCTCACAGCCCAGACTGCACCCTCCTTCAGGTCTCACTCGACACCGCCCTGCTTGAGTGGGTGTGTGCGGGCGTGGTGTTGACGCTGGAGGGGATGAATGGCGTGGGCGGTGGCGGGGGCCTGGGCTACCCCACCACAGAGAAGGGCGCCCGCAAGCCCAAGTGCGCCCGCTGCCGCAACCACGGCATGATCAGCTGGCTCAAGGGCCACAAGCGACACTGCAAGTTCAAGGATTGCACCTGCGCTCGCTGTAACCTCATCGCCGAACGCCAGCGTGTCATGGCTGCCCAG